ATAAACTGCCTCATCGCGAATATCACCCACAACCGCTCAACAACACCTCTTTCACCTTCCCCAGACACCTCAGCGCTCAGCCAGCACCTTGAGTGCCACGCCACATCTGTCGAACTTCGATGAAGCACAAAGTGCCGAGCTCCTGACGGGTTCACTTCAGCAGCTCTTTCACGTGTCCCAACGCGCTGCAGTCCTAGTCCAAGTCACCATTCTTGCCGACCTGTCCGCATCACTTCCCTCCTACAGTGGATACGGCAGCATTTCAGCATCCCACTTGATTCAAGAGTGAGAACGAGCCCGAACCCTGGCTTCATGGGACCCTTCAACCCTACTCACCATCAGTCCGGAAAAACTTTTGTGGAGCAGCCACGAATTGGAAATCTGTCATTGGCTATCAGTGCCCCACCTGAGGAACCTTCGGACAGGTATTCATAGATCAATTCAGCGCCAAACAAGCCTTGCTACAGTGGCAACAAACTGTTGTTTGCCGCGTGCAAGCACCCGGAGAAACCCTTATCAACTACTCTCTAGCGAAGTTGAAGCTCATTTTTGGATGCCCTGTAACTCTCACGGATACTCAGCACACAGAGTAGGCTCTTCAAGGCATCGCTGACGTGAAACTGGCCACTACTATTGCAGCCCAATGACCAGAAACCGTCGCCACGTATATGGGCATCGCAACCCAGCTTGATCAAATATTAAGCCACTCTTCTCGTCAACTCCCACGCCCGGGGTATTCAAGCACCGCAATGCCAAGCCCACAGGTGCCCCGCCACAGTGAAGAGTGCACAAATCTTCAGGCCGTATCACACAAAACAAGGCAGCCACAGCAAATTTCAGCTCTACTACCAGACCAGCAAGAAGCTCAATACTTCACCATCTCTGCGAAGCATGGTGCTCCAGCCCGCTATCCTGGCTAGTAATTGGCCGAAGCCATGAGTTTTCAGAGCCGCTAAAAGGGACATCTCGCATCCAAGTGCTCATCTAGAACTACAGCCCCAACGTCTATAAGCCCATGCTTTCCCAGCTCTTCACAGTACCCTTTCAAAGACCCTGGATGGATCGCTCGTCCAGTATGCCCTTGTCAATTGCGCAATTGCTGGGATTGGCCTAGTCGATGCATTTCCTGACAGTGGATCCAAAGTGACTCTTGTTTCTTGCCACCTGGTCAACTCTTAGTCTTTCCTACCCTTGACCAGGCCCCCTTTGGTTGTCGTTGATGAAACGACAATGACTCCAGCAGGTGACATCTGCTTAAAGATATCTGTAGGACACATCCTAATATCTGTAGAACACATCCCTGGTTTGGTTGAAGCCGCCACCCTTGATAATAATGCTGTGCCACTTATATTAGATGAAGACTGGTTTTCTGAGAGCCCCGCACAGTTGGTGGTCAAGCCATCCATGCCAACAGAAATTCACCATTCCACAACAGGAACAAGTGTACAGTGCCATAAACAACTGTTGCCCAGCATGTCAAACGTTGTCATGATACAGGGGTCATCTTTCAAATGACATGTACTTCAACACCACAGCTCAGCAGGCCTCCAGTGAAAGCCACTACTAGGCCCGGATGAACCCCCGTGGATAGCACTATCTCACCAAGAGGTTTCAAACACCTACAGCCAGTCTTCTGAATGCAAACAAGCTGCTTCTTCAATGATTGCGGTTCGCATTGACCCATCTTTTGCCGCTGCTCAGCTCGGTGACACGAACGCATCAACTACGTCAAGCAAGCATTCACAAACTATGCCAACACCCAGTCCAACAGCAACGCCGAACCAGAGTACAACTACGACAAGGCCCAGTCCAACAAGTACACCGAGCCCGACTCCAGCAACTACTCGAACTACCACAACTGTGAAGCCTAGTCCTATGGGTCCAACGAAACCACCTCCAAGTGTTACCTCGGCTTCAAGGCCGACAACACCAACACAGAGTGCAGAGACTACGACAAGCCCCAGTTTGCCAACTACGCCGTGCCTGAGGACCCCAATAACACCGATCTCATGCCTATCATCCAGCCAAAGCCCTAGCCCATCAGCTACCCTAAGTTCAAGCACAACTACACCAATACCTAGCCCACCAACTACGCTGAGTCGGAGTTCACGAACTACGCCGCATCCCAACCACCAGTTTCCACCAGTCCTGCAGCTTTGCCTCCAGCGGCACCCTCATCGCCGCCCCATCGCCAAAGCCTCCCGCTTGACCACTTCAAGGACTACCTTTTATCGCGGCCCCATCGCCAAAAGCTCCCGCCCTAGTGCTACAAGGACTACCTTTAACATTGAAGCCGCCAAAGGAACTTGGTCTAACAAGGAGGGGCCGGATGTGAGCGCCCGCATGCACGGTAGCATAGCGTCCGATTAGTAGTGCCACCTAAGGCACCTATGCGTAAGCTCAACAAAAGGCCCAAATGTGTGCAGAAACTTTAGTCACTCCCGCTTCCACCTACGGGCGAACGCACATTTTTAATTGTCAATAAACACCTTCGTTTGGTACTGCCATGCCTCAGCCTTTATGCCTGGCCCACCTAGCACTCACATTATAAACTTTGCAAGCTGATTTGAAATGGTGAGCCTAAAAGATAAAACTAGTGAAGTGAAACTACTGAACATTTGCCGATTGTCATTTCGTGGCAAAGCGACTTCAAGCCACGTGTAGTTAACCGGAGCCAAAAGTACGAAAATTAGATGAATTCATGTATTACCCATAATTCCCATACTCACTGAAGCGCCATGTGTCGCAGCTCCCATAGAGACTAGCGCCAGAGTTCCCTCTAGTGTACTTATAGGTTCTATGGTTCCCTCGTCTTTATCCGGTGTTGAGCCACTTTCCTATTTTGAAAATGAACAAATCTTACTTCTGGAGAAATACAGAAAAATGAAGGGAAGCTAAAGGCCATTCGGCCTGATGTGGCTTCGCTATGCGAAATAATAAAAGTTCAGCAAACAGTGCTACATTGATTAATAATTATCACAATACAAGGAGCAGCATAATAACAGAACACAGAAATAGCATAAAAGCAAAAATAGGTGACATGTAAATACAAAAAAATAGGCTGCATAGACACACAGAATCAGACATCGAGGCTCTTTTCATTACATATCCAAAAAGACACATACTTACATATTGATATATTCATATAATACACTCATATATTCATACTTGCATCTGCCCATATGTACATACATACTACTGTATATACACGCATTTTGTATCTAAAGGTGAGAGTATATGTGGAGCTTAGCCAGAAGTTTATTGGAAACATGATGTTTACTTTACTCAATTAATTAGATGTTTTATGTGATATTTGAATTGTGTTAATGAGAGGTTAAAATTTAATTATTCACCTAAATGATTTATAAGCTGTGGGGCGCGATATGCAATTAGGGCTCTACTATATCCAGTCCTAGTAGCAGAAACGCGAATTTGTTGCCTACGGAGCGAGTATCTGAGTGTGCCCTCCTGTGCTGTAATAGTGTGGAGTTTATTTTTATAAATGTAAAGTAATAGCTTATATGCACACCTGTCTTGCTTTGAGTGTACCATGTTTTATAAATAGTGGACCACTAGGTATCTCCCATGGGTTGCCAAAGTAATCATCGAATAGGCGGAGAACTTTTTCCTGTAAGATTTCTAGTTTATTTAAATTCTCACTTGTAGTGCCCCGTACTAGTATGCTATAATTTATAGTCAAGATATAATTCTAGTCAAGATAAGCTGTTGCCGAGTGTAGCACACAGAAAAAACCTGATGCACTGAGAGACGTCAGCCTCAGACTTTATGAAGAACTTCAAGACAACAGTGAGAATATGCCTCTAACATTCATATTATTTCAGTAATGCAAAGACTGGGGCTAATTGGTTCATGATGGTAGGACAAAAAATAACAGGGCAAGCACAAACTTGAACTGGTTCACTGTTCATGAGTAGTCTACATTTATGATGCACACGGGAGGAAACAATGCACCTGTCCCCGCCTATGTAAAGCCTGTCCAATATCAATTTCATCAGGAGGTAATTTTGATGGTGGCTCACCGATATATATTTCAGCACCCAGAGATGATAGTGAGTACAGCTTCGTAACCTACTTTTTCTTTGTCATCTCTGATCAGCTTCATAATTTTTTTTTTTTTTTCAAAATTAGATGCACATGTGAATCGGTTATAGCGGATACCTGAATTCTCGGGGTAGGTTATGCATTGGCAATCATACTTTTATTCCCTAAACCTTGTGTTAAGGCACCTTGAAGTTTGTCCTCGTGTATCTTTTTTACCATACTATACAAATGCCACATCAACCTGAAAAAACTTCTCATTTCTTTTCACTTGGTTTTCTCTTGTATTAATTACTAAGGCCCTCACAGAGCCTTAGTAACGACACTGCTTCACAGTTTCTTACAACTTTTTTTTTTCTTTTTGCTTAACAACAGCCACAATGATTGAACCACGTAAGCCACCAGCTTTTCACCAATCCACCTGTACGTTCAAACTCTCTATAACATGTGATTTTTTTCATTGACAGTCAGCACAAGACTTCTCTTAGGGAGTTTTAAATGGCCACTATGATACATATTAAAAAACCCAGCACAAAAAATGGCAGGAAAGAAAGGAGGAGACAGGACAGAGTGCTAACTTACAACTAATCTTTATTAAGAAACGCGAACACATATATATCATGGCAGGCAAATAACACGTGTCTACCACAATATCACAAATGTCGCACGAACGTCACCATTACCATGTCGCCACTCTGTCTCACTGCGCACGTGTTAGCACTATAATATGGAAACAGGTCAATTACAACTAGGCAAGTTAAATGCTTTAACTCATTTGGTGATTTTGTCATGAATTCCAGCTTTTTTAACATTTCATGAAAGAGGTCCACAACACTGAGAAGTTGTTCCTAAGTGACTCAGCATTGAAGCAAAAATATCAAATCATGCACACACTGAAAGCAAGACGTGACGCCTATCCGAAGAAGGGCAATGACTGTTACCTTAAATTCACCTTCCTGGATGGGCAATTTCATAACTAAATTGATGTCGAACTCATCAGCTTGACGGATCCGCAACCCTTCGAAGCTGCTTCCAGTGTAAGTCAATCTGAAATTTTTAATATTCACAAGTAAACTTACATTGCTGTTATCAAGGTCAATGTGTGGCTAGCAACAACATAGAATGTCGTGAGCAAGGCTTAGTGTCAGACCTGTTCAGCAAAGAAAAGTTGTCACCCACCTGAAACCAAGCTGATATGTAGAATTACGCTGCCTACCAATAATTTGAACTTTACCTTAGCCCAGCCTGTCAGGCTTTCTTTATGAAGATCCTGGGCCTCTTTGACTGTTCTATAGGAGCCACATTAAGACAGATGCCAACTTTTCCTTGCACCAGTTCAACGACAATGCTCACATCTCTGCCCAGCGAATACTGCTGCAATACCTGTTAAATATCCGTGCAAACAAGAGGTCACTCTTCATCTGTACACAGAGGCAATCCAGAACTTCCCGAAGAATTCGCTGGTTCCTCTTTGTGATAGAAGTGTCCTCCGACAAAGCTTCGTGGATACGATCTATACACTGTTCCCGTTTCTTGTCCATGGTCTCTGTGGGTCAGAGCTGCAGTGAATGAATCACCAGATGTCAGGATATGCTCACTGCCTTTGTGAAAAAACAGACCACGCAGGACAAGGCGATGACCATCAACTAAAGAGGAACAATAATTGCAGTAGCATGGATAATTAGGCTAGGTGGTATCGGTTTATCTTTTAACTGTACAAAGGCGTGCGCACAGATACAAGCACTAGAACAAGGAAATGCACACAACATAAGCGCCACTTGCAACTAAAGTTTATACGAAAGGTGGGTACATCTATATCACTTATGTCACATGACCTGGCAGATGAAACATCAAAAAACACGAAATGGGGCTATAAAGCACGTGCCTCAGATCAGATCCTCTAAGTGTTCATGAGGTAGGAAAATTCTTTTTTCTGTTAACGTGATGGAAGGTGCGCTTACGCATTTCTTTCCGCTTCTCCTAATGTGAAACGCCTCTGTCAGCTCTCTGGTGGATCGGTCTGGGTGTTTAGCTAAAACAATAGCATCACAAAAAAAGGGATGGCAACCGCAAGAGCTGCAATGTTTGGGCAAGTGTGAACTATCTTTTGTGTCCAACGATCTCCCATGTTCTTGCAACCTGGTGTTGACATATCTTCCCGTTTGGCCTACATATATGCGATCACAAGACAATGGTACCAAATATAAAACACCTGTTACACACTTTACACATGACTGCCTATGATTCACATTGCATCCTCCTCGTTTTCGAACCTTTGCGTTTAGCGCTAGTTTTCTATCTATTTGGCTACATTTCTTGTTTAATCTGTTTGGGGCCGAAAATACCACCCCTATGTCATATCAATTCGCAACATTTTTTTATAATTTTTTTATACCATGTGACATCTTGTGCATGTAAGGGATGACAAAAGGCTTTTTAACTGATTTCTTTACTTTAAGTTTCCTTGGTCCTCCAGTTTTACTGTTTTTAGTAGCTTCTGCGCAACCTTGTAAAGGACGGGCTGGGGGAAGCCAGCGCTGCTCAATCTTTCAAGTTGATTTGAGAAACTTTCTGCCGTTTTATCAGAGCACAATTTTTTAATGGCAGAACTCAGAGAAGACAAGGCTATCCCATTTTAACAATTTTTGAATGCCCCGAGTTAAAGTTTAGTAGGGGCTTCTTTGAGCGTGGCGCTTATGTTATGTGCATTTCTTGTTCTAGTGTCTGTGTGCGCACCCTTATTCAGTTAAAAGAGGAACAATGACTTGGTTTAGAATGACAAAATTCACTCTGAAAAGTATGACGGCATCTGTTTCACAATCATAAGTTTATCATTACCAGAGAAAATCAAGGTTGAAGTTTGATTTTCGAATTTTGCCCCAATATCTCCACACGTGACTTAAGAAATTTCAAAAAGTCTTTTCGGTATTTTAGTGGCATTGGCTCAATGAAATTTTCTGAAACTTGGTATACTTAGTCTATGGCACTCACAGATTACAAAGTACTTCATTTTTGTCAATCAGTAGCTACGTAGGACCCAGTAGATGCCTTTAAAGAGGCCCTGAAACACTTTTTTTGAGTAACCATGGAAATAATTCACTGGAAAAGCAAGCATATTGACTCACAAATTCAACGCCACAAAAATTTTAAGAATCCGCCCAGTACAATCGGAGTTACAAAGATATGTCACACACTGCAATCGCATTCTCTCTTCTCTTGCCCCGACAAAAGCGCTGAAAGCTAAGCAGGAAAGGATGGGAGGGGCAAACAAAAGAATGTTTTAAGTGCCTCGTGACTTTCAGCACTTTTTTTTCTTTTTTGTTCTTCGAATATGTGGCTTTTTCAGCGCGATCGGGCGTACACGTGTGGGCAAGCGATGGCCTCCCGCAGCGATCTCTGTAACGTCCGGGCGCGCCATGTTCAAGTCAGCCAATGGCTGATAGACTACTACAAGTGATTTTTGGGCTTATTCCATGATTTGTCAAGAGCAGAGCTTTTTTTAGCTGACTTTGATCATTTATTGCGAATTGCAGGTTGCGTGCTGCGCTATAATATTTGGCTCGCGTGTTCTCGGGAGCCTCTACTACCGATTGGCAGCGTTTTCTGACCATGCTCAAAAAGTGTTGCAGGGCACCTTTAAAATTTCTTGTGTCACCGTGTTTGGTGCGGGAATCTCAAAGTGGGATCGCCACCCACATCTTCTTTCCGCGCGTTTTCTCGCTTACGAAGTGTCGTGTCGCGGTAAGAGTGGTGTTTTTAGGATTGTGAAATAGCCCTTTACTAATATGCAATAAATTGTTTTGCTCTTTAGTGTTTCTTTAAAGATATACTGACACGAAGATCTCCTTTTTATTTTTTCATCATATAAAAGGTTAAGCCCCCAAGAGCCTAGAGAATGTACGGCTAAGTATAAGTGCACTCTAAAGAAAGCAACTGCAATATATTCTTAAAAGCTTGTCCCAGTTCCAACTGCATCCTGAACTCACCGCAAGTGAGTGAGCTTCTCATCACTCGCTTGCGATCTTTCTATGGCTGCTCCACACCGTGGGTCTGATGGCAATGCACAAGTGGCCGATTTGGAAGCTTTCACACCTAAAGTCATCACAACTAGCTAGACTGCCGCGTGAAGTGACCAGGACTAGTACTGTTGCCTTTTCCCAATGAAAACAAAATATTCAATGGCCATCCGAAACAATTCCGAACATTCGCCGACATCAACAGACCTGTGAGGGACAGCAAATGGACATTCATTACAATTTGAGTTAATATTTTTCCTAAAGATATCCTGTCTCAGACATCCATAACAAAATGTCATTTCGTACACATTTTGCGTTCTCAACCTGCTTTGGGTAATTCTGACTGCGTCTTGGCACCCATCGAACACAAAATGAAACTAGCTACACTTGGCTTCGCTCATAGATGATCATTGAGCGAAGCAAAAAAAAATGAGAATATAAATATCATAAAAATGAATAAACAATAACGACGAGGTATATTTTCAGCATACAGATTACGTATTTAATTGAAATTTCTCGTGTTCGAAACGGGCAAGCTGTGTGCGTCAGTGAATGACAGAAATTCTGATCAACTTTATTTTACACCGCGCCATTTCATAGGTCTTTCAAAACCTGAAACGACACAAAAAAATGGAAGTGCTACTTGCTTTCAGTAATCCACTCGAAATTTTTGTTGTTAAATAAAACATATGAACTTTGCAGTTACTAAATTTCAGCAAAATAATTTGCTGTAGTGTTGTTTTGCCTTTTTTATTCTTAGCAGCTGTGTGCGCACGAGTGAGAAACTATGGCCTCAGCTCCATGGTTCAGCTTCTGTACAGCAATACTGTGGACGTTGAGAACTCTGGAAGGTCTCAGAGTGGATACAGAAATAAGTTCATCGTCTATGAACTTGCAGTACAGTGTTCACGATGCGCCAAAGCGGGATACCTGCAGGTATTTCGTGGGCCAGTCCGTTTCGGTGCAATGTTAGAGAAGGTGTCACAGCCAGCCTCGCGATATTGTCGCTCTCCGCAGGCTCTTCGGCTGTTGTTGAGTAGTAGGTGTTGTCTGCTGTTGTAGGGAACTCATCTGGATCAATAATCAGTGTGCCCCTATCAGTGCGGTGAAAAAGTGTTTTATGCGCTTGAATGTGGTGGTGGTTAGATCACGTTTCGGCTGTAGACAGCGGTCTTTAGCTGCACTCACGTGATGAATGTTGTGAATGATGAAAGTGGCAACTTTTACACTGCTCTAATGCAAAGTAGGCACTCGATTTATGTGTTCATAGAGGAAATGAAAACAAATTCTGTAATGAAGTTGTTTGTTGTATTCTTGGTAATTCAGCATTCATTTGATTCAGATAATTTTACTTGTACTGTGACAGTCAAATTAACAAGCTTTTACTTTTATGTTTTTCGTGATGCGCTGAGAAAGGCATTAAGAAAAGTTTTAAAAACGTAAGAAAACTTAATATCACTTTTTGCCAGTTTGGGAAGTTGGGGGAGGATACTGTTTCTGTGAAGTAGTAGATAATTGCACCAGTTTCAAACTGCTGCGGCTATTAAGACACAATCCTATATTGACAAACAGACATGCAGATCTAAATCATTTAAAATTTTTAGCTGTCAAATGCATCTGTGTAATTTCTTGGCTGGATCAATTTATGTACTAGCATGTCGCCTCTCTCAAGAAGTGTTGTGTTTTATTGCTTTTGCAGAAAACACGGAAAAAATTTGGTGAGGTTAGCTATCCGGACACAGTCAAGAGAATGAAAAGAGACGTGCTTTCAGCTAAGGTGGCTACAAATTACATTTGGCAAGGTGCCAAAGAGTAATTGCACTTTAGAAGACAGCATGCTGCCAAATCCTGCTAAGTATTATTCTTTCTGCACTACTTTATTTCTTCAAGCAAATCTCTTCATCACCCATTGCATTGTTGCTGGCATATTCGGACAGCATATTTAGCTGCTCAACACATGAATGTTGAAATCTGGTTATGGTGGCTTATGTGAGCTGCAATCAGGCATAAAAACAAGAGTGCTTTTCAACTCAGTAGTTTTGACATTTCAGTTGCAGAGAAAACTCATCGCATTAGTAAGTCAGACAAGTTGGTTGTTGAGACAAATGCCCTATCATCTGTTGTTCTAGCACTGTTTTTATGATCGAGAGAAAGCACAGTGGAAAGTTTCAAGCAAAATACGATGCATGAGACGCATTATTCACAGATCATATATTCGCTCTAATATATATATATATATATAATACTTGTAATGGTGTACTTCACCTTTGTATGTAAAAATAGTCAAGTGGTGCAAATTAATCTATATCTCACCTTTGCAGCATGCCAGGATTCTAATGTTGTGTTTGGATTTTCCTTCTAATCTGTGCACGACAGAGATGTGTTCTAGCCCTTTGCGATTGCCAATGACATTGTTAAATGTTTTTGTGTGTTTAATTAGTTTCCTCTTACAGTTGCATAAAACCAGATCTGTTGTTTTACAGATTTATAATATTGGTAATGTGTTTCTATGGTGACCAGCTTTCAGTGAGCAAAATGTGCTTTATGTGGCCAACTACATGTACTACCACTAACATGGGAAAGTCATTTTTGCATTTTTTGCATTAATTGTGCAAATATTCTGCTTCCGTGCCATTCTTAGTAGGCTTCTCAAATTTAGCGCAGAAATTGCTGCTGCTAGCCCCCACTGAGCAGAGCCACATTACTTACTGCTCTCCACCTTTTGTTAAAGAACATAGTTTTGAACATTATACTATAGTCTTACTTTCAAAAACTATTATGATATATGGGTCATAGTGGAGGGCTTTATATTGACTTTTACCCTCTGGGGTATTATGATATGCTTTACAACAAAAGCACGAAGGCATAATGGTACTATTCATGCTTGCTGCGATGGTGTAGCAGTTACAGCACTTGGCTGCAAACTTCAAGGTCTTGGGTGGCAGTCCCATTCGGGTGGAGGTAAAATTCTAAAGGCACATGCGCCATATCTGTGCACCTTAAACAGCACCAAATGGTGAAAATTGCTAGAGCCCTCCGCTATGGCAACCTCATAATTATATCATAGCATATGATTAATATTATTGTTGTTGTTGTTATGCCTCCATCAAAGTGTGGCTCCATAAGCTCTGAGTTAATCCACCTTCTCATGCTCAGTGCCAGAACACCTTGGCTGTCCGAGCCAGTGCATCGTAAGGGAATACGTTGTTGTGTAGAGAATTTCACTTTTTCAATGTGTACGATTGACAGCAAGCTTGGAATTTGTTTTTATCAGTTACTTCTAATAATTTTTGCTTTCTCTGACAGTTTTCCTGTGAATGGGATTCATGTAGTAGAAAAATAGCATTTTATAGAGGAGTTTGCTTTCTTTGCATTTGCTTAAAGGAAACCTCCTAATTCAACAAATCACCTCTAAGGCAACATGACGGCATCAGGGCATCAGTTGAAGACATCGATAGGCACGACCCTACTGGATATGATAATCCCCTGATACGCACGTATCTAATGGGCGTGTCATGTACTGTTTTGTTATATCAGTTTTTTTTCTCTCGTTTGTAGTATCTGCCGTACTTGTCTATTCATATTTCTTCAATATTCAATTCCGGTTTATATGTAAACTGCTTATGTATGTAAGCAACATCTAGTCACAGTACATAATGTATGTGTTTTGTGCTTTGTTCCTGAATAAATAAAATGTGTATGCAATACACTTGGATCAGTGTTTCTCTAGCCCAAACGGACATTTAGCATTATATGTTGCCATCTGTCAAATCTCACTACTGAAAGTTTTGCAATTTCAGAACTTCAAATCATGCATAAGTTTTCCTGTGCTTTCAGGTTAGTTCTTTTGATTAGTTCTTTTCAAAAATACACTTTGGTTAAAAAAATTGTGTGTGCTTTAGTCTCATTTCAGTAATTTTAGTGAGTGGCCAGAGGAAATAATTAAAATAGCACCTGAGAGCACAGGAGAACTTATTCTCGATTTCAACTTCAGAGAGTTAAAAAAAAAAGACTATAAAAGACTGCTTTTAGAATAAAACACACCCTTAATCTCCCTGTCATGTAGACAGTGTGTTCTACTAGGCGTGTTTGGGACTATCAAGGGGTAAACCTGGGTTTAGGAAAGTGCGGCCAAATCGACCTGCAAGAAATGTTCGCCACCGTTTCCGAAATGCAGCGGAAATCCGATATCCAGTCAGGGGTGTCCTGTGGACGTCCCTAGCATGTCATTGTTGTCACTGGGTTGTTAGGATAGTGTTGATGTTGGTACGTGCGCCATGCAAAAATTTATCAGCATTCGCTGACAGCTGTCTCTGTATAAAGGAGATTTGTATGGCAGAGTAAAGTTGCCTCCGAAAAATTGTGTCAGTACCCCTTCAACTAACTCGTTGAAGCACAGAAATTGTAATTGCTTTAAATGTTCAATTTTTGTACAAGAGCTATGAGAAAAGATTACAAAAAACATATTGAATACATGAAAAAAAATTGCTGAAAAATATTGAAAACGAGGTGGTCAATGCTGCTGACCACTGTGTCGGATGGGTCTCTACATCATACATATTTGACGAATGGTCCTGTGCAATGTAGAGGCATTCTTTGTGCATTTACTTCTGAAATATATGTTGTGTGCGGTTCAAAAAAAGGTTTTCCCTTTTGGTTTCATCAAGTAATATTTTCAGATATGTTGTTTACAAGTCACTATCATCAAATACATCGACTCTTCAAAATGCTAAAGATTACACTGCATACTTCCATATACTTTTCATGCCGATTCCACCACTTATGCAATGACATTAGAAGATATAACCATGTTGTCACAGAAAAAAGAAAAAAATATATAGCTCACCAAATATTACAATTAATGTGTGTGCAAGTCCTAATGGATATCTATATAATGAGTAAAGGTAAGATCGGCGAACGATTGAACCTTGATCAATTATTCAATCGAGCATTTCAAGAGCCTAATAAGTAGAAGGTGAAGCTGAAATGTGCTAAACTCCAGCCATACAAGTGTCTTCGTGCAGCTGAGCGGAGTTGTTTTTTCTCTTCGCACTAAACTATATAAAAAAATAGCTCTTCGGTGCACTGCATTAACAGCGCAGCATGGCAACACGGACATTGTCAGTATCAACATGTTTAAACAAATAGGAGAAAGATAAAAGGCGATAATCAAGGATCTCAGGCTTGTTGGTTGAGCTTCGATATGGCACAGCAGCCGGCCCGCAACTGCAGTACACACGGCCGTATTTATAAGCGTTTGTGTCATCGCCTTCTCGGGGGCCGTAATTTCGGACTAGTTGTTCCTGATCGCCATAAACGGCGCAACAACAACGGTCGAGCTTGTCGTGCCCGCGCAGCTGATTTTCATTACGTCAAATATTCGTGCGCTGGTGTAACTCATCTCGTGTGCAGCGGGAATAGGGACTGACGAACCAACCTGAGCAAACGCAAGATGACAGAAGCCGATGTATGCGAACGGTCGCCCGAAGTGCAGAATAGCCACAGAAAAGTTGGATACGAACTTTGGCGCCGCGTTTGTCTCGTCGATCGGGTGCTGCCACAGAACACCTACCAGTTGGTGCAGCTAGTGCTGCCGCCGATTCTTCCAGAACGTGTCACGTGTCGTCTGGCTCTCTGACGTGTGTGAGGGTGGTGGTGGTAATATGAACTACAGCGTTTTTGAAATACCTCTACAACACTGTCGCTGTGTTCCAATTCTTAGACAGCACGTAAACCATCTACGCATACAGCTTAGAAGGCTGCACTAAATGGTAGAGTATAGGTGTTCTGTAACTGCACCAAGCCCATGCCAGGCCAACGCCTCCTCTAGAAAGATGCCTGAGGAATGGCTCGCGCTCCCAGCGGAGTTAAGGTCCCTAGATGTAACAGAACACCTACCAGAGTTGGCCTGCCTTCAGTTTTGAGCAAGCGCCGCTTGGTGACGCTCGTGACCAACATCATCATCACGGTGGCAGGCGGTATCAACCAACGTTTCTAGAACTAGTTTAGAAACGTTGGTATCAGCCATTTTTTTTTTACATGGTATCAGCTAAACATTTTTCACCTGCAGCTCATAAGGCGCGTCAGTTGAGAGTTGTTCGAGACCTGCAACTGTACATCACTACTTCGGAGGCTATGCAAAATGTCGCGTTGTTGCATCGCCCGCCACAAGTGACGCTAGCGACCGACAACAATCCAAAATGAAGGAGAGAAAGGGTGTGGCAGCTCTTTTTCTTCTCATGCGGCACGAATCTAAATAGAGGAGGCGTTGATTGCACTGTATGGAAGCGAGAGAAATTGAGACAGGGAGCTGCTGCAACGAGCGGGAGAAAGCCATGACGCAGAAGCAGACGACGACGGTGTCGTCTGCTATGCGAACAGCCAGCAGCCCTACCAAAACGCACTGGTGCTTTAAAACCCATTTCGTTTTATACGCAACTATAAATTATACAAACAATTATTTTAATTATTATTTGTTCAAAAAAGCTATTTGTGTACAAAAGATAAGAGAAAAGTGTTAAGTGGTCAGTAAAAAAGTAGTTTGTACTATTTGTACAACTGCCGCCGCAATCTAGACGGCGCTGTCAACGCATCTAATTTTCTTTACCATTGGAACGCGGACACCCACGGTAGGTGTTCTGTGGTCCTTCTTCCGTGTGAACACCTATCCTGACAATAGATGGCACCACCCATTCTAATACTCAAATGATTGTTCCATAGTTGATAGTACCCAAGAGTGAGCGCTCGTCGCAGGTATTTTAACATATCGCGTATTTCGCAAGTGAAACGGCAACAGTAAACTCGGTCGGTTTTAGAAGCTGGTAATTGGGTGGACACTCGCAGGACATCTCAGTTACTTCCTTTCTTGAGCGCCGTGAACGTTACAACCTCGCAACCCACCCCGACAAGAACAGATGTTACGAGAAACGCGAGCGTGGTCACAATAATTAGCTTATTTTACTTTACTACAAGCCTCAGAGTATGTTTTTAATTAACAGTCACATGTTTCTTTACTTTTAAATTCAGAATATCGTGTGTAAGCATAATATAACCATTAGTATTCATTCATAGACGTTACGAACTAGCCAACTACCTAGAGCAGCGTTGAAGGCCACTTTATTAGTGAACCCGCCATGAACCTCTGCCAGCTTCAAAAGGGCATTCGGCGTTACTGCCGTGCGCCGCGTTCAGTGCGGTGTACAGAATCGCCATCAAGAGATTCTGAATGCGTAATTTTTAGAAAAGGGGCTGTTGGATGTCGCTCGCACCGGCGCCCCACACTATCTAAATGAAAGGAAAGAAATGTGTGTGAGTGGGCAGTAATAGTGGAACGTGTTCGGGAGGTTTACAAACTAAACGGGCTGGTGCTGATTTTCGCAGGATTTTCCGTTTCAAGCACGTGTATAACGAGGGTCGCACATACCGTTGGTTGAGAGGCCATCGTCATCAAATGCGTTAGGCAGTGCTTTCGCAAGCCGGCGAGCTCGATTGTCAAGTGAGTGAGAACTTTATTTTGGTCCAAAGGTGCCAGAAACTGAACGGGACCAGAGGCCCCGCTAGCTCAGCTGGTGCCGGGAGGTGGAGTTCGAGCACTGCATGGGCCGATTTTTTCGGCCCGGGCCCCGCCCAAACGTTTCGGCGTGATGTCCACGGCGTATTGCCAAATAAATGAAAGGGTAATAAATGAAAAGTCGGAGGACACCACTTGTGTAACAACACAACTCTTTTCAGCGACACCGTCAGCGAGAAGCCCCCACGTTTCGGCGTAATTTTTACAGCCTACGGCTTCAACAAGCTTCACCGGCGTTGTACCCAGTACCCTTTAGATCAGGCGGTGGCTCACGCCACTTAGCCGTAATACTGAGTGAACCAAAACCTAGATTTATCTTTTTTTTTTCCTTTAAATAGTGAAGTTGAGGATCGGTATTTTGCAGTGAAGGGTTTAATTTTCACTCATGCCTTGATTTTAGTCATCGATCAGATAACTTCCTTCTAGTTAATTCTACCCACTTAATGTCTATTTTGCTCTCCCTAAACCCCAGTGCTTTGAAAAATTCTGCGCCATCATCCTGAACTATAGACCTTTTCACTCAAGGCGTTTTGGGTGCCGCCATAGTCCTCCCTGGGCTGTTGTTAGCGCGCTTGACCCCCTAAAAAATGCTCTGCCGAGGCTGTACGTAACATTGGCTTTCGCACTCTCGTGTAACAGCCCAGAAAGAAGGAAATCCTCCTCTCCGTAAAAATGTTCATAGGGTGAAGCCCCTTACAGAACATTATCAAGTGTTCGGCAGTTTTCTCCTCCTCTCCACGTGCACTGCATACCGTGTCTACCCCTTCGCATTTGGCCGGATAAGTCTTGGTTCGCAATACTCCAGTTCTGGCCTCAAACAGTAGAGAACTACCCTGAGTATTAATTATCTTAAGATCCTTCCTGCTTAAAAGTTCGATATATCTCTAGTGCAGGCTTCTTAATCATGCCAATTCTCCACATATCGGTCTCCGTTTCCTTCACCTTCTTACCAATAGTTCTTTTTGGTTTGGCCCCCTGCTCTTTTCTAAGTATTTACCAGTCAATTTTCTGGTTCGCTTTCTCCATTGTATATCGACATTCTTTATGCACAAGTAGCTGAAAACCTTCCTTGCCCAACGCTCCTCCCCCATTTCTCTCAATCGCTTCTCAAATTTTATCTTGCTGCTAGCTTCCCTGCCCTCGAATGATGTCCGTCTCATATCACCTTGTACTCCCTGATTTGGTGTATTCCCGTGAGCCTTACCTATTCTACGTTGCCTAATTTCTAATCTTGCTTGAACCTCTGATCTCACGCACAAGACCGCATTGCCAAAAGTCAGACCAGGAACCATGACACCTTTCCAAATTCCTCTTACAACATCGCACCTATTGTAATTCCACAGTGCCCTATTTTTCATCCCCGCTGAATTGCTGTTTATTTTAGTCGCTACGTATATTTTGTTCCCTTAGGTGCTCAGTCCCATTGCTTATCCATACGCCCAGATATTTCTATTTATTAGTTATTTCTAGTGTGACCTCCTGTATTGTAAGCTCACTACCTTCATTATCATTAAAAATCATGACTGATGATTTTTCCTTACTGAATGTCAAATGTAACTTATCTCCCTCATTACTGCAAATGTCCATCAATATCTGCAAATCTTCCTTGCTGTTGACCATTAGCACTATATCATCTGCATACATCAATGCTGGTAGTGCCTGTTCAAAGAGTTTTCCTTGTTTGACGAAAGAGAGGTTGAAGCCAAGTCCACTTCCCTCTAATTTGGCCTCTAATCCTTGTAGGTACATCATGAATAACAAGGGTGACAGAGAACACACGTGCCTAAGCCCCCGTTTTATCTCTGTCGGCTCGAATACCTGTTTTTCTCATTTTATAACTACCCAGTTACTTTTATAGATATTCTTTAAGAGCTTAGTGACTCCATCCTCCACACATAGTGTGTCCAGTATTCCCCACAAGACCTCTTGAACCACGCTATCATACGCTCCCTTGATATCCGAAAATGCTAGCCACAGGGGCCTGTGTTTCTTTTCTGCTATTTCAATACACTGCATCAATAAAAACAGATTATCTTCCAACCTCCTTCGTTTACGGAACCCATTCTGCGGTTCCCCCAGCACCTTTTCATCTTCTATTCATGCCTGCAGTCTTTACTTTATCATCTGCATCGTCGACCTATAAACCACTGATGTCATTGTTACAGGGCGGTAGTTGTTTATGTCCGTTTTGTCCCCCTTTCTTTTATAGATCATGCTCATCCTGCTAACTTTCCATCTGTTGGGGACTTCACCATCGATTATTGTTTTGCTCGCTGCCTCTCTCAAAGTCTGCTTAGACTTGGGACCTAATTCTTTTATCAACGTGATTGGGATGCCGTCAGGGCCTGTTGACGTACAACCCTCTTCTCAGCCCTCTCCCACTCTCGTTGTGAAAATGGAGCCACTGCACCACTTGATCCATCCTTGTCTACTAAGATGCATAAAGCGCTTCCTTGTTGAACTTTGAACTTTTTCTGCATCCTTGCTCTTATATATTCAATAGCTTTGTCCCCTTCGAGCCTGGCACCTTGAGCTGTAACTATAAACCTCTGCTCTAAACTTGTTGCGTTTTTTAAGAAGCTTAGATGGTTCCCAAATTTTGCAGCTGCCTTTCTATCCTCTTTATGTACTTCTGCCAGCCACTGAGCACCCTTTCTTCTTATCTTTTCATTGATCAGAAGGGATGCATCCCTTCTACAGCTTAAAAAAAATGTCCCATATTCTTTCAACATCATCTGTCGGTTCACCCCGCCGCTTAGCATGTCTGTGCTCCCTAGAGGCTTCCTGACGTTTTGCTTTGGCTCTCTTAACTTCCTCATCCCACCAACTCTTGGGCTTGTGTCTTCTTTTCCGGGTTGACTTGTCACGGGCCTTAGCAAGCTCTAGCCCAAACAGTCTAATTAGATTTGTGTATGTCCACACTGTTTTAATATTGTCAGTGATTACTCTCTCAGTTTATTTAGTAGCTATTTCTATTTGCCTTTCTGAATAAAATTTTCCTTGTAGTTGCTCATTTTGTCTCCTTCCCACTTTCGTTGCTCTTTCAAAACTTAGCTTGATTTTTATTTCAGACAAAGACAAATAATGTGTCCATTTGTCCTGTCTAGGAGGTGTGACAAAAAGGCACGAGTGCCTGACTGAGTGTCACATCCCTTTCTAGACACTCACAACTCAAGCATCAGTGACGGTTAGATAATCAAAAATACATACAAAAGATTACATATACTATACATTGTTAGGCAAAAGGTATACAGGATTCTATAGATATATACATTGTTCTATATACACATGAAACAGAAAGATTTTCTAACTATATGTACAATATAGACTGCAGCATGGTAAAAAACAGAATTATTCTTGTATTGAAATGAGGTATGAAGTTCACTTTATTTTTTTACTCATTTCGTGTGCATCGTTTCCTGTACCAGGTTATTACGGCAGGATGATGATTTAAAAAATCTGCTATAGCATAAGATTGTTTTTGCATGCCATAGTTAGTTCGCATGAAACCCTTATCATATATAGTTTTTCTAGTTTCGTAAGTGTTGCCCTTCCCCAGGAATCGTAGATAAAAGCTGTCCTGACATGACTTTATTTTCTGGAATATTGCAATGCCTAGCTTCTTTTCCAGTATGTGTTGCACTGTTAATATGGTATTTGCTTTAAAAAGCGGAGTGAGTTAGATATGGAACATTTTCAGTAATTCGCAGATGTTTTTGTAGAATATGCAGCTTTCTAAGATTACTTTTTGTTGTTGTTCCCCACAGAAGGAGGTAGTATTGTTAATGGGAATCGATTAGTGCATAGTATAGCTGAATTTCAACCACCAGGGCAAAAGTTGCTTTGCTCTACTTGTAGTACCTATTGAGCGTGAGATGCGTCTTGTGATGTTATCGACATGAGGAGACCAGCTGAAGTTTTCTTCGAAAAGAACACGGAGACATTTATGTATTCTTACTTGCTCGATGTTCTCGCCATGGAATTTCAAATGTACGGCGTTCCCGATAGTCCTATTTCTGGAGCGAAAAATTATATATTTAGTTTCTTTGGTATTTAGTTCAAGTTTATTTACATTTAGCCACTCAGCCAAATTGTTGAGCCATTTACTAGCCTGCAACTGAAGCATATGTAGGTGCTCTCCTGAAAAATATGTTCGTGTCGTCGGCGTAAAGAATTATATCTGCCGTCAACGCAATATTCACTATATCATTTATATATAATTGAAAAAGAAGTATTGCAAGGATGGAACCCTGAGGAACACTGTATTTAGTTTCCCCCAGAACTGATTTTGAATTATTGGTATCTGTGTACTGGTAGTGGTTTGTCAAATAACTACATATAAGGCCGAGAGTAAGTCCCTTGATGCCATATTTGCTTAGCTTTTTAATAAGATATTATGCTTAATAGAGTCAAATGCCTTTTTAAAATCAAGAAATATCCCTAGAGTATTCTTGTTGTCTTCAAAATTCTGAATCATTTTTTTCTTTGATACCTAAAAGAGCCATTTCACTTCTTTTTTCTGAAAGCCGTATTGAGTGCCTGTAAGTACATCATTTTTAGTGCAGAAATTTATAATTCCTACATTAATCATTTGTTCAAAAACTTTTGAAAATAGTGGTAATACCGAGATTGGCCTGTAGTTGTTCATGTCATTTCTGTTGCCTCTTTTGTATATAACTGTTACTCTAGCAATTTTTAGTTTATCAGG